CTGACTCGGAAAGGAGTCAAGTTTGTGTGGAGTGAGACTTGTGAAAAGTTGTTCCAAGAGCTGAAAGTTAGATTGACCACCGCTCCGGTATTGATTATTCCGGAGATGTCTGTTGATGCATCCAAGGTTGAGGCAGTGCAGGATTGGGCACAGCCTAGGAGTGTATTTGAGATCCGCAGTTTTCTGGGATTAGCTGGGTATTACCGTCGGTTTGTGAAAGATTTCTTCGGAAGGGAGTCAAATTTGTCTAGACTGACTCGGAAGGGAGTCAAATTTGTATGGAATGAGACTTGTGAAAAGTCGTTTCAGGAATTGAAAGTTAGACTGACTACTGCTCCAGTATTGATTATTCCAGAGGAGGGTTGGGTTATACAGTCTATTGTGACGCCTCACGAGAGGGTCTGGGTTGTGTGTTAATGCAAGAGGGAAAAGTAGTTGCCTATGGCTCACGTCAGTTGAAAATTCACGAGCAGAATTACCCTACACATGATCTAGAGTTAGCAGCTGTGATATTTGCCTTGAAGTTTTGGAGACATTATCTTTACGGTGAGAGGTTCGAGGTATTCTCGGACCATAAGAGTCTGAAATATCTGTTCACACAGAGAGACTTGAACTTGAGGCAGAGGAAGTGGATGGAGTTCATAGAGGATTATGACTTTGAGTTGCATTATCATCCGGGAAAGGCCAATGTGATGGCCGATGCCCTTAGCAGGAAACCTGTTGGTGACATTGCTAGTGTAGCCATTCGAGAATGGGAGATGTTGGGTGCACTTGGGGAGTTTGATTTATTTCTGGGCGAATCCGTTGAGGCTGCGACCTTGTTTTCTGTTGTTGTTCAGCCTACGCTTGTGACTCGAGTGTTAGAGGCTCAGAGAGGTGACCTTAAGGTAGAATCTCTCCGTGAGAAGATTTCCGGTGGAAAGGTTGAGAAAGGTTTGACAGTATATCCTGACCTCAGTGTGAGATACCGAGACCGTCTGTTTGTGCCAGAGTCTTGCCGAGAGGAAGTACTCCGAGAGTTCCACCATTCACGCCTTGCGGTGCATCCGGGAGGCACTAAGATGTATCGGGATTTGGGTCACCAGTTTTGGTGGCGGGGTATGAAGAGAGATGTGGCAGCTTTCGTATCTATTCCAAATCCTAGGTTCGACTTCTCTCTCTCCCTACTCACCTTCTCTCTTAGGTTTGATCTATTTAGGGTGTGTTTCTACCCTAGATCCTTCATTTAAAAGGGTGTGTGAGTCGAGGGCTTCGTTTGTTGACTAAGTCGGCGCACTTCATTCCTATGCGCGTGAGAGATTCAGTCGATCATCTTGCCGATTTTTATATTCGGGACATAGTGAGGTTACACGAGGTTTCAGTGACGATCGTCTCAGATAGAGATCCTCGTTTTACTGCCAGGTTGTGGCAGAGTTTGCAGAGTGCCTTAGGCACTAAGTTGACCTTTAGCACGGCTTATCATCCTCAGACTGACGGGCAGTCCGAGCGTACTATTCAGATCCTTGAGTATATGCTTCGGGGTTGTGTTCTAGACTTTAGTGGGTCGTGGGAGAGGCATTTGCCGTTGGTGGAGTTTGCCTACAACAACAGTTTCCAGTCTAGTATCGGTATGGCACCATTTGAGGCCTTGTATGGCCGACCGTGTAGATCTCCTGTTTGTTGGGCTGAGGTGGGTGATGCACCTCTGTTGGGTCCGGAGTTGGTGAGGGAAACGATGGAGAAAGTTGAGCTTATCCGTAAGAGGCTTGTTACAGCACAGTGTCGTCAGAAATCTTATGCCGACCGTAGGAGGAGACCTTTGGTGTTTGAGGTGGGTGATCATGTCTTTCTGAAGATATCACCTAGACGGGGTTTGATGAGGTTTGGGAAGAGTGGGAAGTTGTCCCCTCGGTTCATTGGACCATTTGAGACCTTTGAGAGGATTGGCGAGGCTGCGTATCGTTTAGCTTTACCACCGCAGTTGTTGGACCATTTGAGATCTTTGAGAGGATTGGCGAGGCTGCTTATCGTTTAGCTTTACCACCGCAGTAGTACATGACGTGTTTCATGTGAGTATGCTTCGGAAGTATGAGCCGGATCCATCACATGTGTTGGATTGGACCGATTTAGTGGTTGATGAGGATGTCTCGTATGAGGAGAGACCGGTTCGGGTCTTGGATAGGCGGGATCAAGTTTTGCGAGGCAAAACCATCCCTTTGGTGAAAGTTTTGTGCAAACATCACGGAGTGGAGGAAGCCACTTGGGAACGTGAATTGGAAGTCCGCCAGAAATATCCGGACATATTTGTTGATTTGTAATCTTATAACTAGATTCTGTTATATTGTTAAACGTAAGAGCTTTATATATGTCTTAAGTTGTAAAACATTGAGTTTGTATTGGTAAATGGGTATATCTTGAAACTTGCTTCATTATAGAAGTGTAGTGTAATATTGCATCTGTTGAGTACATTGTTGATTGTGTGGCATATATCATGCGATTGAATATGATATGGGAATTACTAACATTGGAAGGATTAATGCATAATAATGATACAGGCTGAAATGTTGGTTGTTTTATATAAATTGTGAGATGCCTCTTAATAAAGAGATGAGGTGACCAGTATTGGGTCAAGTTGTTTATTATGGTTATATAATATCATTGGGAATTGAGAAAAATCGGTTTTCAAAAACTTAAGCTTAATTTCGGGGACGAAATTCTTTGAAGGGGGAGAGGTTATAGCGACCCCGATCTTTTCCCATTTGATTATTGTATCCGGACTTAGGTTCCGTAGATTCTGTCATTGTATAATTGTTGTTGTTGTCCTTTATTTTCTCATTTGGAATTATAGGATGTGTTGGGTTTAGAAACCAAGTGTTGCTGTCCAGGTTTTTGGTTTTTCGCTCGAGCGAGGAGTTGGTCGCTCGAGCGAGCTGTTGTTTTTGGTTATTCGCTCAAGCCGGGGTTTGGTCGCTCGAGCGAGAGTTTGCGTCTAGTTTAGACCTGAAGTATTGCATTCTTGGCTCGAGCGAGCTTTTCTTTGCTCGAGCGAGTATTTCTTGTGTCTGGTCGCTCGAGCGAGACTTTCCAGTTTTAATAAGCAGCAGCGGGTATTTGATCAGTTTTTCATCCACTTCTAGTATCCAAACCCTAGGTCCGACTTCTCTCTCTCCCTACTCACCTTCTTTCTTAGATTTGATCTATTTAGAGGGTGTTTCTACCCTAGTTGCTTTATTAAAAATATAGAGGGAGTCGAGGGCTTTCATTTAATCTGAACATTTGGCGATTTGGAGCACTTTGGTCTTTGGGCACTCATCTCTGTCTTCACCATTTGGGTTATTTTCTTCGAGATAGGGATTTCCTACTCCAATGTATACGTTTTGTTCTAAGTTCTGGCATTTTAATAG